AGTTATTACGTCTTCCTGCAGTTTTTTCGCGTCATTTCTAGACCAATGGGAAGGGCTGGAAAATATAGACGCGTTCACATTCTATGAATGGACGACTCACGCAGAAAGGACGAAAGGCGAAATGGGTAAATAAACTTAATGAATTAATGGGAGGTAAATAGACGATTATTCGAGATCGGTCACGTCTACAACTATTATTATGGCGATTCTCTCATGCAAGATACCCTCATATTTTTTAACTGCTTATCTGGCTACTGCCTGCTCAGCGGTAACGAGCCGCATTCTGAGCGTGCTGTACAAGATCTGCGCCGAATCCCTAAAAACGTGCTAAGGACATTGCCAAATCGTTCGATTCGTGCCTAATTGATTCGATTTGATTGATTGAAGCACTTCCAAATCGAACGGACAGGCTGTTGTCAAGTTTACAACCAACTGCTAGCCAATTACGCAGTTCGCTGGCATTGTTGCCAAGTTTGACATAGCCGTACACTGCGAAAGCGATCGCCGCATAAGGCCTGTGTCAGACTCTGTGAATGCAGAGCACTGCACCAGCGACTCGACACTTTGAAAATGGCGGCACTCCTTCGTTTGCACGTTGACTCTCGCTACTTTCTCGAGCTCTCATGCCCTCGTGAGCCCGGAAAATGGCGAGAACCAATTTTCAAATTAAGTCCGCCACTTCCAAACAGTGTCGAGTCGCTGGTACATCGTTCGAGCCGCTGGTACACAGCTCGATTCGCTGGCGCAACGCTCGTATCCCGCGATTTGCTAGATTCGTATCGCTGGATTCACAAAGTCTGACATCGGCCTAAAGGGGGGGGGGGTGCGAACGCAACCCAAGATCGTGCGACACATGTTCTATTCTGTTTTTATATACGCACGACATAGGGACCTCATATAATCGTAAACATTTGCCTGTACTACCGTTCTAGATGTGGAACAAAATCAGCGAGTAAAAGAAGAGCACGAGCCGATTTACATGATGACTCCGAAGTTTTTGTTGAGTTTGAGAGTGAGTTTTTCTAGTAGTACCACTCGTCAAACGTATAAGTGACATATTTTTGCGAATGATACATATTGCTTCTTACTTATATTTTCTATAGATCATTCGACTCACCAACCATGGAGGGCCAAGCATCCACGGCGTAGCTATAACGTGCCATCCACTAAGAATCTGCATCCGGCAGGAGAATATCCTCGTTCACCTACGACACCAGCAAATACTCCGAATTCATTGAAGACTCGATCGAGATCCGACAAGCATAGAAGCATTTAAAACACCTTTAACCGAGTAATCGTAATTCATCATTGTTTTGTTGATCTAATCGCGCCAGTTTATATCTTGTTTGCTAGAGAATTATCTGATATTGGTTGTTTATGAAGATTATTTCTTCTTCCAAGCGAGATCTTGGTTTTTTTTTCTAACAATAAGACAGCCGTTTGGCTAGTAGCCCTTAATTAAGTAGAATAATGTGGGATTGCCAAAACAGTTCAGCAACACCCAGTGTAGCTGGTTCTCATTATTAGCACTGCGTGCATAGGAGACTCACTGTAGCTTGCAAGCTTCTAATAAGCGATTTCTGTCCACGAAATCCGGATATGAACACCCCCAAGCTTTGTAACAGGCTTAGAGTGCTGTATATTAGGTCGGTCCATAATTCTTGAGAAATTTTACATGTATTGGTGTAAAAATTTTTGATAAGTATTGAAGCTTCCAAGATGTCCAGCAACCTAGCACACAAGCTCGCCTATCCGACAGGCTGGCATTCGCATGTTACTTTCTTTAGCTAGACTTCCAATTTCTTTGAGACCTACTTCTGAGCCTCTTTCTTCATGACTTCAGATTAGAATCTTCCACGAGCAGGGCTATAAGGAGGATTACCCAGAGGATAGCTGAGGGCACGCTCCCTCAATCCACGGTGCTCTGGTGGTTACCTCTACTCAGGGCCCCTCCTTTTATTCGAAGATGTTCCACACTCCAACTACTCCGTGACTGACAATCTCGATGCCCTATCTGGCGCCATTGAATAGGAATCTGAACAAAGTGAGCACTGTGTTTTTCTTCTTTTGTGCCGCACAGGTTGTTATGGTGAACACGTTTATTGGTCAACGTTTCGACAAAACCGTCGTCTTCAGGACCTGTGTGTGATCCCACCAGTCTCCCAGCAGCCTCCTCTCGTTAGTGACCAAAACACTGCTGGGAGACTGGTGGGATCACAGGTCCTGAAGACGACGGTTTGTCGAAACGTTGACCAATAAACGGTTCCACCATAACAACCTGTGCGGCACAAAAGAAGAAAAACACACAATATCAAGATGCCCAGGTTCCAAGAAGACCGAACATGAAAGTGAGCACTGTTTGTTAGAGAGCTTTGGTGTTACAAGGTGAGTGTACTGAGACATTTCGATAAAGTCGTTAAGGTTTGAATATGTGGAGTTTGTCTCTCCCATGCTCTGAGCCCGAATCAGCTCTACACCCGATCTGACATCATCATGTTCCTCTTGGTTTCCCATAGTTCCCTCGAATGACCATCCATCATACTCATCGGTGATGTGGACTGGGATGCAGTGTGCTAACAAATCCACAAGCCGCAGTAGCTTAGCTTAAACGATTCGGGAGTTCTGACAGCAAAAACCCAACTCCCTCTGAATTCGAACTTCCTGAGTCGTTGGCGCAATACGAGAGGGCTTTGCGCTGGAAACCGGCACCAACTAATACCAGTGTCAGTGATGAAGAAGAATCGTTGACAGCTTGATGGCAACGCCTTCAACTTGAAAGCAAAGTAAGACAAAATCTATTTTTTTCTGAGGTCGTTCGAGTCCACCTTGCTAAGAAAATTCATAAAAAATTGGAGACTCTCGGGCGGTCAGTTCTTTTAGCTCCACCTTGTAGCACTGACCTGTGTCAACGAACGACTATCCGCTCTCCTCTCTGAATCACTTCTGGAAAAGAAATCTCACTTGAATCACAGAAATAAGATAAGTAATTAAGTCGAAAAACACCAAAGGTTCTCAAAAATTATGGACCGACCTAATATTTCAGCAATCCTTTGGGTTGCACCTTGGGGAGGTCGGTTCGGTTCCAGTAACGTTTGGTCCACTGCTGTAAAGTTATTTCATTCTATCTGCGACTATTTACTGCGCTGACTACAGCGCGCGTTTTCTGTTTTTTGCCGCGTGGAACCACAGCGATTTTGTCAACGCCATTGCCTTACCTCACATGTTCGGTCCGACGACGGCTTTCTATGCGAATTTCGGTGTAGTATTCTACTTGCAGTCATATCCCGATGTCAGATTGGGCGTGTCACCGGAAATGACGTGGCAGCCACCGCACTTGATAGATGTTGCGTGGATAAATATGCTTTGCTGATATCAGCGAAGAGTTAGAAGCAGCTTATCCGCGACTTCTATCAAGTGCGGTGGCTGCACGTCATTTCCGGTGACACGCCCAATCAGACTTCGAGATATGGATTGTATTACAGCGCCCTAGCTCCTTGTCCGCCTGGAGGGACCGGGTCAACTGTGGGATGGGTGGGCAGGTCTCGCGAAATACAAAACACACATCAGCTAAGCGGAGCCCCGCCCACAGTGGGCGTGGCGTGCATCGGTGAATGCTACCCAAGATTTCAAATTCAGTTACAAAACAGCCTCGAACTGGGGAAAAAGTGGGTAAAGGTGTGCATTGGTAAGCCACATCGAATTAGGGAGACCCACCCCCGGTGGGCGGGGCGTTCTCTAAAAAAGCAGTGCTTTATGAAAAATTTCATAACTCGGTTGGGAGAAAGCCTACAGAGCAGAAAAAAGTTTATGCTCAGCATACATGACGTGATTGGAAGCCCGCCCTCAATGGCCAGAGCGTGCCCTGAAGTGGACAGCGTTCCCTACAAGTCCTCGTAATTTGCTTCCGACGAGAAGTCTTGGAAAGCGGAAAAAGGGGAATTGAGGTCAGAGAAGGAGGGGAGGCTGAGTGATACTTTTCGATGAAGGGAGTAGAAGGTTTCGTCACCTCAGATATTGTTTACGATACAATATCTCATCTTCACGTGTTTTCCAGACTGTTATGAGACATCGTTGTTTACGATGTCTCCATAAGTGATCTCAGTCCAGGACTTATCTTGTTCCAAGAGTTGCGGCACTTGAGTCTAATCTTCGAGACCTATTGGAGGATATTATATTCGGCTGGATTCCAACACTGCCATTTACATCGGTGTATGGTTTATGGTATTCACAGTATGGTTTATGGTATTCACAGTATGGATTAAGTAAGCTACAGAGGTTCAGTGCAGATACCATAGTTATACAGTTATCGCACAGTGGTAATCCAGGATTATAGGGATCTCGGAAGAAAGCGTCAAAATTGCATATCAAAAGTGACGGCTATCCTTATCAGACCAAGTTGGCTCAAGTTAATTTTGTACAATGGTCTACGAATTCTCCATCTTTTCATTTGGAGTCACCGTAACCTGGATTAACGAAAGTTCGTTCAAACACCAATCGTCGTCATCCTTATTCATCGGTTTCAATTTTCGTTTTCCAAATTTACAACTGCATTTACTCGG